TGCAGAAAAATAATACCTTACACGTATACATTACACGTATGTATATACATTTACCTATAATATCAACTGTTTTCAAAGAAATTTCTTCTTTTTTCATATTTATTTATATACATCTTACTAATAAAATAACGAGAATTGTAATGTAGAGCATATAATTTCACTTTTCTGCAAGAAACATTTTACGTTTATTAATTATTATTATTTATCTCAATGCACTTACTTCAGCCTAATTTTTTGTAACTTATCCATATGTAGTAACTGGATTTTATACCAATTAAAGTAGTAACATGATGTAAGATCCAATATACATTTTATCAAAAAATGTAAGAATTTTATCTTATAATTATTTTAAAATCACGTTCAGAGTTTTGCATAACTTAAAATACCTAAAATACTTAAAATATTTAATTTTGAAATAATAAATTATTCAAAAAATGATTTTAATAATATACAAAATGCAATAGGGATATATTTATTGAAATAAGGGAAAATTATCCCTTTTGGATCTTATATCATTCATCGGAATTTCTCATCTCCGCATGTTTTGAGATGAGATTCAGCAACGAATCGTTCGAATCGTTAAAAATACGTACATGGGCCTTGAATTTTATCGGATGATAATCGATTTAGTAATTTTCAGTCATTTATTTTTAAATAAGTCCTTTAGATTACATTAAAATTTATATTAAGAAATTTAATTTAGTTTTGTAATATTCGAAACTCTTGAAATAAAAACGTGATTTACATGAAGATTTTTTAAATTTAGATTTATATTTAGTCTAATATTTATATTTTTGATTTTGAACAAACGCGAAATTTATTTATATATTAATAGAATTGTTGTTATTATTATTGTTAATGATAACTGTTTATATTAATATTTAATCTATTTTATTAATATGATGGCCTCTTCGCGACGCGTTCGTGTTCCGCGCATCATACAAAAGCATAAAGACTTACGCTTATTGCCGGCGATATTAATCGGCAACAGTCGGCAACGAAAAGGAATATTTCTCCTTGTTGTCGATTTTTGGCTTACGAAGCCAAAATGTTGGCTAGAAGCAACGTAAGGTGAGTCCAATCTGGCCAGAAAAAAGAAGAGAATCTTTACGAGCTTAATGAGCAGAATGTTTAAAATCGACGCATAAGACTTTCTTTAAGAATTCTTTATGAAATATCTTACAGATTTTTTAAAGAATTCTTAAAGATTCGATTTTAGATATTCTGCTCATTGAGAAATAAAGTTGGTGTATTGGTGATATCAATCTAAGTTTGTAAAATATAAATTGAATATTCGGGAGGGTAATTTGCTCGCAAATTGCGAGTTCTTATATTTTTTTAGAGTTATTTAAAATATATAAAAACCAACAAACAACAGGGCTAATGAGAGACAGCGTGGATAATCAAGTGCAAGTGTGTATTTGGTAGATTAAAAAAATTTACAAAACTTGTGCTTAATTATCCGCGCTGACTCTTATTAGCCTTGTTATTTATTAATTTTTTTTTGTATTTTAAAGCTTGAAAAAGTTGTTTTAATTACTGCTTATTGCTTATTTATTATCAGTATGATCGCGAAGTCCCACTGAATTTATTAATACGCGATAGGGTATGGTTAGACATTAGTTGCGTTCAGCAGAGAAAACACCTTTGCAAAAAATTGTTGTAAAATTCTTTTATGTGATTTGTTTGTACATTTAAATCCGTAAGGAACCAAAAGCAAGAACCAATCATATTGAAGAATTTTACAACAATCGAAAATCTACTTTCTCTGAACGCAGCCATTAAAGTATATTATATATACATATATATATTTGCGATGTTATTGCACATTTATGAAGTAGATAGGAATACACGGGTGAAGATAGGTATTCGCAAATAGGCACGAATAAATGAAAATACGGTAGGATAATAGGTAGGACAATAAGTATAGACGGTAAGGGTCTATATAGGTAGGATGATAAGTATATAAACAGGTAGGACTAAACACGTCATATACACACTTGATAATTGGAAATTATATAAATGAGGGATTAAAAATTGAATAAAATTTTAAATTAATTTTAAGTTTTATTTAATTATCAGCATCCCGTTCTAATTATCAAATATGAAAATAAACCAAATTTTCAGTTACTCTGAAATTAAACTTTTTTGTAAAATTCTATACACGTACAAATTGTGCAACGTGTTAATACTATAATTAATTTTATAATAAATGTATAATAATATTAGGTACGTAATATAAAATTTATGTAAACTATGTCTAGATGAATGCTACAATCATACTTACTTTTGTAATTTGCACAATGATTTCCGGAAAAAATATTATATATATGGGCATATTTTATTTATAATGATATATAATTGTATATAAAGTATTTCAATTTTTTATATGATTATGTATAATTTTATATAGTTATACATGAAATATTTTTTCCCGAGTTACTATTAATTAATTATACATTTACTGGAATATATATATTCGCATTGAAGATTTATTCAATATAAATAGCATTTATTTTGTCATAGTAAACCAAATTGTTGCGTAATTTATATAAATTATACGAAATCGACGAAATATATAATAACAAAAATTGTTTATTGTTGATTGATTTAATAAGTTTGATAAATATTTTAAAACTCTTTTTGAATTTTTAGATTTTATATTTTGTATATTAAAAAGTCATTAATAATTATAAATAACTTCTTATTAAATTTGCTTTTGGAATAATCGTTATTTTTTCTTTGTATTTAGTATGCAAATTTATTAAGTTATAAAGATTGGAGCTTTGACTGAAACAAATTAAACGTATTAATATTAATATTAATTCTTACTTGCTTTTCGATGTTTATATTTTTAATATTATAAAATTACAAGTATACTTTAGTGAACAATTTATCATATGCAAAGGCCTCTTATTGCTGTTTCTCGCATTAGAAGGATGCCAGTGATTAGGTTTGTGACCGATGGAAAGTCGAAATTATTTTCATCGTGGAGAATTATTCCTCGCTTTTCGTGAAGTTCATTCTAGTTTAGTGTCTCTTCAGAGATTCTTATACAGGATTGGAATAAATCCCGGGTTTTTCGTTTGCTGATAATCTGCAGTTACTGATAGTATAATAATTTTGTCAATGACAATTGCTATATATTTTAAAGTCAAGTTGTAAAATTAATTCAGTGGTATATCTTAGCATATAATTTTCGCTTTCTTTGTTTTGTTAAATGTTCTTCCACTAGTAATAATAATATTAATAATAGTGTCTTAATAACAATAGGAATTTAGTATTATATGACTGATATGAATATTATTATTTGTTTAAATTCAATTTATTAAGTAATCAAATTTTAATTTTATATAAATAATTTGCTAATTTTTCGATGATTGCTCTAACAAAAATATGGTTACGAATGTGTATATTTAATTTTCTAACTGTTATTTAAAAATCATTTTAGGTATTGGACATCCCGCTATTGCAGAATATTTTTAATTTATATGTGTATACACTTTTCTATGATAAAATACATGCAAATATTATAAGATTATATTTAATGAAGATTGATTTTTTGTTGATATTTATACAACTTATTTCAAAATTCTTTATACTTAACAAATGTTATCGTGATTACAATTGAATTTTAAATGTGTGGGTACAAAAAATTCAAGATAAGTCGAATGGGTACCCTGATATTAGCGGGATGTTAATAATTGTAATTTTTGAAAAATAAAGAATTGTTAAATTTTATATAATAAATTTTTCAGTATAAAATATTCTTTAAAATCCCGTTATTATCGGGTTCAGCTCATCTTGAATAGTTGATGCCCGAGAAACTTTTGTACTCATACATATAAAAATTACAATAGTGCATGTATTTTATTATTATTAAATATATTCCTTCGTAACCACTATTCCATAAGAAAAATCATTTATTCATATTATATAT